AAATTCACAATATTCAGTATCCAATCACAAATACTGCACATATATGAAGGCAGAAACAAATGACCTCACCAGGAGATGATTTAAATAGGTCCTGAAATGACAGTGATGATAGAATTATTAGGCAAGGATTTAAAACATATTATAAATATGTCCAATATACTGAATGATTGAATAAGAGCACTCACATTTTGAGGACACAAATAAAAATTTTTTAAATGGCCAAATGGAACTTCTATAAATAAAAATACAATATTAGATGCAAACAAATATATATTGGATGAGAGTAACAGGAGCTGAAAAAAATGACAACTACGCTTTTTTTTTTACTTTAATAATATATTTTATTTAACCCTATATATCCAAAATACAATTTCAATATATAATTGAATGGAAAATGTTAACGAAATAGTTTCCATTTTCTTTCTTTTTGTGCTGTCTTCAAAATTGAATACTTTACACTTAGAGAACATTCCAGTTTTCACAGGAACATTTAGTTTTCAGGGGAAATCCTTAATCTGTATTTTGATCTTATAAAATTTATAATTGAGGAGCACCTGGGTGGCTCAGTTTGTTAAGTGTCCAATTCTTGATTTTGACTCAGGTTGTGATCTCAGGATCATGAGTTCAAGCCCCACTTTGGGCTCTGCACTCAGCAGGGAGTCTGTTCGAGATTCTCTCTCTCTCCCTCCCTTCTGCACTTCCCCCACTCACATGCCTGCTCTTTCTCTCCCAAATAAATAAATAAATCTTTAAAAATAAATAAATAACAAAATTTATAGTTGAAAAGGAGATTCACATACCTAAGATGCTTCAAACATACTAAAATTTTTCTCAATTACTGAGGAAATTATTACTTTTTAAGTTTAAAGTAATTAAAAGAAAATAAAATATCAGCTCCTCAGAAGCACTAGTTACATATGGCTAATAGCTACTATACTGAAAAGAGCCTCTTTCTAGATTAGCATTCTGTGAGTGGAAATTCTATATGTATTAAAATGAAGAGAATGAATACAAACATTTCAGGTGAACCTACCTAGTAAGAGTGGAATTAAATGATTTATTGAGAATGACAGATCACAATTAAGGTAATGGGGGCAGAGGAGGGTCAGTGCCAGTCCAGCCTCCAACTCTAGTAGGAGCCTGATGGGTTTACCCTCATATCAAGGGACAGGGAGCTCCCTCACTCCAACATGGTATCTCACCATTACATGGACTGTGGTTGAAGTGTATGATGACTGGCTCCAGTTGTCCCATTGATTGTGTCTTCTCTTAACTCTGTCATCCTAACTTCTATTCCCAGTTCCCCAACAAATCTGAGTGTAGAGAGCAAAATGGACTCTCTCATGTCAAGCAGGAGCCTTTGTCAAGCAAGGGCCTGTGTCAAGCAATGATGCAAGCAGTTAAGGTACTGCACCTAGGAGATATCACCAGGACCAGCATCAGCTGACACCCCAGTGGTTAAGCGACAACTACACTTAAATATATCGCAATAGAGGCTATCCCAATGAAGCCATAGAGAAAACAAAAGTTGGATAAATACTATGAAAATAGTCAAAGTGATCTGTAGAACAGTAACAAGCTGCACACTATATATTTAAATGTAGGTCCAAGTAGGAAAAAAAAAAAAGAGTATGTGAAGCAGAAACCCCACTGCAAGAAATGTTGGCTGCAATTTTTTTTTCCAAATTAATTTAAAACAACAATGATATGTATATATTTATATATAAGTATGTGTATATATATATGTATGTATACACACATATATGATATAAAAAGTTAAAATTATTCTAAGCAGGGTAAACAGGAAATTATACCAACATCACATTCAAATTTGATAGAGAAATCCTTAAACCAATGATAGAGAAATCCTTAAAAAGAGATAGAGAGGAGATCCCTGGGTGGCACAGCGGTTTGGTGCCTGCCTTTGGCCTGGGGCGCGATCCTGGAGACCCGGGATCAAATCCCATGTCGGGCTCCCGGTGCATGGAGCCTGCTTCTCCCTCTGCCTGTGTCTCTGCCTCTCTGTGTGTGTGTGTGTGAATATCACAAAAAAAAATTAAAAAGAGATAGAGATTGTCAGCCCCGGCAGCTCAGAGGTTTAGCTCTGCCTTCGGCCCAGGGCGTGATCCTGGGGTCCTGTGATTGAGTCCTGGGCGGGCTTCCTGCATGGAGCCTGCTTCTCCCTCCGCCTGTGTTTCTGCCTCTCTCTCTGTCTCTCTCTCTCTGTCTCTCATGAATTAATTAATGGATAAAATCTTTTAAAAAAAGAGAGAGAGATGAAAGATATTTTGTGAACAGATAAAGAAAAGATTTACCACTGATACATTGTCAGCAACAATACAAATCATAAAACATTGCCTTATATCAATTTATTGTCCAGTAAAAGTATCTTTGGATAATGGATGCTGTATAACCAAAATTGCATAATCTTTTTCTAGAAAGTCATTCTTTCATTTACTCATGGATTTTGTGTGTGTGTGTGTGTGTGTGTGTGTTTGCATATGTGAGAGAAATATACCCAATATGTGCATGATATTGTATAACTAAGATGCTAACCAAAGCATATTTATGATTTCCAGGGTCTAGTGATACTGTACAATTTATTTATTCAATTAGACACAGGTACAAAATACTTTTTAATTTTTCTCAATGGGACCTTCTAAGAATTAACAGACTCATGATACTGTCCCTCAAGTAATTACATGCATTTTTTTTATTCTGGGGTCAGACTAAAATTTTAACAAAATGAGTCTCAAGGGGGTAGGAAAGTGTTTAAATACACCCTGCAGCAACCAGTGAGGATTAAAACAAAAGTCATAGTAGATTCTCTAGTAAGGTAAGTAGAAAACACTGGCCTTTGAAAATGTCAGTATATAGCTTAAGCTGGTTATCGTCAAAGTCTCGATGGGCACTATGCTCTGCAAAACTTTCTTCCTTTGCAATAGACTTTTCTGTCAGTAATAGGATTCATGTATAGGAGAGACCTGTTCTGTACTCTCTGGTACTCTGAGCTGTGCTTCTTAGACCACCTTTGTTTTTATATAATTTACTGCCTCTGTTCTCTATTTTAACAGGAATCTTTGTGTATCCTTATTTACCTTATTGTTTTTCTTGTTCCACTTTTCATTTCCTATTGACTCAGGGTGACCTTAATAGAGAGAGACTGTTATTATCTATATGAGAATATATTCTGAAGACAGAATAACTTTTTTGAATTTTGACTCCACTACTTACTGAGTAACCTTGGTTAAGTCAATTTTTTTTTTTTACTTTCAAATGGATATGGTCATACTCTATACTTCCTAGAGGTATTGTGTGCATCATATGAGTTAATATATGCAAATTGCTCAGACAGGTGCCCAGCACATAGTGAATTCTCTATCAACACTTCATATTTATCCAAATTCTTCTTCTTGCTAAGCCTCTTTAGATTAATTTCCATGGAGAATTAATAAAAAATTGGAATGGCCAAATCCTTTTAGTACAAGAGCAATGTATGTTTGGAAGATCATTAGAAAAAGTGATTCAGGGGCATCTGAGTGGCTCAGTTGGTTAACTGTCTGCCTTTGGCTCAGGTCATGATCTTAGGGGTCCTAGGATTGAGCCCTGTATTGGGCTTCCTGCTGAGCAGGAAACCTGCATCTCCCTCTCCTGCTGCTCCTGCTCTCTGTCAGTATCTCTGTCTCTGTCTCTCTCAAATAAATAAATAAAATCTTTAAAAATAAAATAAAATGTGATTCAATAGGCAAAAATACCAATATGGCAAATGTGTACAAAATATTAATAACAAATTTCTGAGATTAACAAGTCACACCACTAGTTTTTTTACTGGGTAAATGAACTGAGCAACATTACGGTGAGAATATTGAAATATATATTTAAAGTCAGAGTTTTCCTGAATACCACCTTATGCATCACTCCACCAACCATTAGAAAGGTTTTTTTTTTATATCTTCCCACATTAAACAGGTATGATCATTGTCAATAAGGTAAGGTTTATGGTTTCAGTGTAGATATTCGTTCTTTTTGCTTCAAAATTTTAAAAAGCTGACCTATAATACATCTTTTGATATACTTAAAACATCTGTGGGTCCAAAAAACAGGTCACTGAATCAAAACAATCACTTAAAAGTATTTTTCCACTTTGAAGAATACTTGAGCAAAGTTTCCATCACTGCATGCTGTGTGTAGGTCTCATTCTATCACAGGGGTGTCATCAGCTAGGAATGTCAGTGGGCCCATGCTACTCTTGGTCTCAGAGGGCTTGGAGGACCTGGATTTCTGCCTATATTGGGGTCAAGGGTGAAAGGTCTAGAGTTTTGTTAGTTTGCTCTTTATTGGTGCATTTTAAAATAGGAGCAGGAATTAAAGCTTGGGAAGAGAAATGCAGGGTCTCTCCAATAGTCAGCCCTCTAGGTCACCCAGGGCTTTCCAAAATATACAGAGACCTCATGGGCAGGGAGGCCTGACTCTTCACCTAATTGTGTAGCTAGCAATATGCTTATTTGAGATGGATGTTTTTGAAATTGATGCATTGGCAATGAAAAGCTTAATCTCAGGGATTTATATTACAATCAAAAAAGCTGATTGTCAGGCATTAACACTAAAATGTGAGTGTAGATGTTTGTAGTTCGAGCCTAATGGTAAGAGGAGTCTCCATTTACATTTTATGATAAAGTATATCTGTATCTGGGTGCCAGGGTGGCTCAGTCAGCTAAGTGTCTGATGCTTAATTTTGGCTCAAATCATGATCTCAGGGTCTTGGGATTGAGCCCAGCATGGGGATCCACATTCAGTGCACAAAGTCTGCTTTAGATTCTCTCTCTCTCTCTCTCTCTCTCTCTCTCTCTCTTCTTCTCCTCCCTTAAAAAATAAATAAATAAATAAATAAAAATCTAAAAAACGCATATTTGTATTTCATGCATAATATTTTAAATTATCTTAGAAGATAGCATCCCCAATATAATATAGTGCTTTTATACCTTACACAGCTTGCCAAGATGAACCATATGGATAAACAGAATTATACTGCAGTGAGTGAGGTGACTGAATTTATTCTCATGGGAATCACCAAAAACCCTCAATTTCAAGCACCCCTCTTTGGAATCTTCTTCATCATATACTTGGTCACAGTGACAGGCAATCTGGGCATAATTATCTTGACCCATTTGGACTCCAGGCTACATACTCCAATGTACTTTTTCCTTAGACATTTGTCAATTACTGATCTTGGTTACTCCACTGTCATTGGCCCCAAAATGATGGTAAATTTTGTGGTGCACAAAAATACAATCTCCTACCATTGGTGTGCCACCCAGCTGGCAGTCTTTGAGATTTTCATCATCACTGAACTGTTTATTCTTTCAGCAATGGCCTATGATCGCTATGTAGCCATCTGCAAACCTCTCTTGTATGTGGTCATCATGGCAGAGAAGGTACGTTGGGCGCTGGTCCTTGTTCCCTATCTCTACAGCACATTTGTGTCTCTTTTTCTCACAATTAAGTTATTTAAACTGTCCTTCTGTGGATCTAACATTATCAGTTATTTTTACTGTGACTGCCTTCCTCTCATATCCCTGCTCTGTTCTGACACACATGAGTTAGAATTGATCATTTTAATTTTTTCAGGCTGTAATTTGCTCTCTTCTCTCTTGATTGTTCTTGTATCCTATATGTTTATTCTTGTGGCCATTCTCAGAATGAACTCAACTGAAGGGAGATACAAAGCCTTCTCCACCTGTAGCTCCCATCTGACAGTGGTGACTGTGTTCTATGGGACATTACTCTTTATTTACCTGCAACCCAAATCCAGCCATACTTTTGATATTGATAAAATGGCTTCTGTGTTTTATACTCTGGTGATCCCTATGCTGAATCCATTGATCTACAGCTTAAGGAACAAAGAAGTAAAAGGTGCTCTGAAGAGAACTTTAACCAATGGGTGCAAAATCCCCACTTAGTCTTTAACTTTTCAGTTGCAAAGTTAGGTCCAAAAATATTTCTTTAATACTCCATTAGTCCAACTATAGCATCAAAAGGTAGCAATGTTTTACCTGAGTGTTTCCTTCATTTTCTGGATAAAATAGTTCCTCTTGTATCTCCCTGTACTCTTCTCCACTTCAGTTGAATAAATGAATAAATATTGTAGACAGATAGTTTAACCCTCAAGTGATATTAAAGGTCATATTGGAGCCTATAAGCAAATCATATTGAATTTGGGATTGTAGAGGTTAAAAAGAAAAAAACCTTAGTCAAAATTGAATAGAATTAATCAGAGTAATGTATATTTTATAGCAGTCACTTCATATTAACAATAAATAAGATTGTATCATGAAGAATGTGTAGGCTAGCCAGGAGGCAAGTAAGTAAGTAAATGTGTGATTATAACAGAACTTGAACAAATTGTTTCAAGAATCTAGGCTAAATGGGAAATAAAGTATATTACCTCAGAATGAAATGTTCAATTGGATTGAGTTTATATTTTCTACCTCAAGGATACAGTGGTCATTTGGGAAGATTTTTTCATTAAGAGTATGAGAAAAATATTGACTGATTATGCATCCCTCTGGACAGATCCTCAAACTATATAGCTAACTTTGATTTATGACAGCCTGATGATAAGCTGATTTAGGATTGCCAAACTCAAGATAAAGGAATTATTGGTCATCTATCAGAATGACATCAACATTTTGAAAAATCTATAGCTGTAATAGCAGAGATTAAAGATAAATGAGACATTAATGTCTATTTCTTCTCCTCCATCAGACTGTATATACAGTGACAATATTTTGCATGGACTATTGCTAACACAAGGCTTCATTCACATTGTGCACTCACTCAGCAAATGAATGGATTCTTAATATCTTAGTCTTCTCCTTGTTGTTTAATGGGCATTTTTTAGATTTTAAAAATATATACACTACCTCAATAGTGTATGTTTCAATTTCCTTAGAAATTCAAAGTTGAAACTGGGGAATTAAGTCAAATATAAACTGTGGCCTCCATGTCCCAAATTCATGTATATTACTTATTTTTTCCCTTCTTGTATTGTAGTATATTAACAGAGTTGATCTTAAGTGTTCTCACCACAAATAGAAAAATTAACTATGTAAGGTGATAGATATGTTAATTGCCCTGATTGTAGTAATCATTTCATAATGATAATTTTGTAGCATACACATATATCATTGTTGTACACCTTAATTATATCCATTTTTATTTAGCAATTGTAACCTCAATAAAGTTTTTTTTATCTTTAAAAGTCAAAATTAAACATGACTACAATAAAACATAAATGAAACACAATAAAAGAAATAGAAAGTTGTATTCTGTGATCATATCAATTTTGTTTACCATGTTGGTTTTGGATCCTGTCCTAAGCGTATGTTATTATGAATAAATTTTATTTTCTAGAATAACCTTTTATATTATACTACACAGTCCTTTTTAGTCATATATGTTTTTCTTTCCCAAATTCTATTATTTCCATTGCTATCCACAAACCAAAAGTAAAGTCAAATAATATTAATAGCATTCTTCTATATCATCCATTATAAAAGGGCTTTACAGAAATAATAATGCACCATACCCCTGCAACTTATTTTTCTTACTTGAGAATTTATCATTATCATCATTCTTGGTCAATAAACATTAGATATCATTTTTAACATAAGCCTACAAATATGTGGTATCCATCAATCACTATGTTTGCCATCCCTTGATTGATAGACACTTAATTGTTTGCCTCTTTTTATTTCTGTGGGGTATCCATCAATCACTCTGTATGTGCCATCCCTTGATTAATGGGCACTTGATTGCTTACAGCTTTTTATTTCTTTCACCATTATTAAAACAAGAACATAATAAAAAGCTTTATACTTATGACATACATACTCTTGCTTTTTATTTCTAAAATAAATGTAAGAGTTCTTTCACATTCCAATGATATATTGAGTAGATGTTTTATAAACATGCATAAATATTTGAAATAAAAAAGAAAATACAGAAGAAAAGTGTTATGTATTGTAATTTTTTCCCAAGTAGTATTTTTATTCTATTATTTCTTAAGAAGGGACATTAAATTAATATTTAGTGACATATCATTTCCATTGTGCAATTGTATAAAGTTGCAAAATGTCAACAATAGATGATTATAGGCATCAGCTGATAATCAGGTGATTATTATAAGCAGAAGATCATATCATGAGCTATTTGAAAGTTTAGATGCAACATGAATGGTTCTAAAATATTACCGTCTTTTCTACAGGAAACTTATCATGTTCTTGACTTCATTGGATAAAGCCATTGTTCTTAATCACCATGAAGTACATATTCTCATCATAATTATAATGATAAATAGTTTAGAAATAATGCTATCAACCTACATTAAAATCCTTTAGTATTTGTATACCCTCAAACCTTTTCCCAGAGTTAGAACTTTTAGTTTTCCTCAATGTATTTTTAGTGCATATCTAATTAATGGTGTCATGCATTCAAGATTTTAGCTTGGAAATTGGGATATATTTAAATCAATTATTAAATGACAATAATTACAAGACCCTAATGAATCAATTGAAAAACTCACCCTCCAATTATTTTGAAAAGTCCTTGAGATTGATTTCCTACATGGACTGTGCATTGATTTCTTGAATTCCTTTCCTATTACTTTTGTTTTCAAAAAACAGCACAATATACCATTTCTTGAAGGGATTTTCTCAAACACTTCAAATTTCTTAGTGGAACAGAAAGCCATTAATTCTAGCTTTAACAAGCTGGAGAGAGTTGATGGAAAAAGAAGAATGTGGGGCACCTAGGTGGCTCATAAGTTACGTGCCTGAATCTTGATTTCAGCTGAGGTTGTGATTCAGGGTAATGAGATCAAGTCCCGCATTAGGCTCTGTATTAAGTGTGGAGCCTACCTAAGATTCTCTCTCTCTCTCCCTCTGTCCCTCTCTCTATGCTCTCTCTCTCCTTCTTTCTCTTAAAAAAAAAATACCTCTCTTAATATGTCATCCTAAGCATCCCATTGGTTCATCTTTTAACTTACCATCATAGGGTTGAGACCAAAGTACAGCTTCTAACAGGACTCAGTGTTAAGGTAGGGATCAGATTTTAATATGAAAATAGTTTAATAACTGCTACCAAATGTGACTCTTTTCAGAGTAGAAAGTTCTAAGCCTAACCTCATGATATACAAATTAGGTACCTCATGTCTGGCTTTAAGTCTGTTTCTATACAGCACAGAATAGATCCAGAATAGCTAAAACAATTTTTAAAAAGGAACAAATTGGGAACATACAATATTGACTGAATGACCAACTATAGGGGCACCTGGGTGACTCAGTGGTTGAGCGTTTGGCTCAGGTTGTGATCTGAGGAGAGACTGGGGAGACTGCCTCTCACCCCGCCTATGTCTCTGCCTCTCTGTGTGTGTTTCTTGTGAATAAATAAAATCTTTAAAAAAAAAAGAAAAGACAACTATAAACCTAAATCTAGAGAATAGAGAACCCCAAACACATAATTTAATAAGATTTATATATATCTTCCACAAATTAATAACAAGAGTCAAATAGCCTAATAAAAATGGAGAAAAGGATCAGGAAAGACAGTGTGCAGAAGATGTTGAAAGGTCAATACACATGTCAAAAGACTAACATCGTTAGTCACCCAGGAAATGAAATTAAATAACTATGAGCCACCACTTGTCACCCATTAGCATGGATAAAATTTAAAATACTAGATTGCCAAGGGCAAAGAATCATATCATCTGCTATGTTCAGTTCCTGAAATCATCACACATTGCTGATTGGAGTGTACAGAGGAACTTCACTTTGGAAAACAGTCTGGCAGTTTTAAGTAAAGTTTAAATATGTCACTACCATATGTCCCAAGAATTGCCCTCCTGAATGCTTACCCAAGAGGAATGAAAAGATGTCCAGAAAAATATATGTGTGTATATTAATGCCACGGATTACTTTAGTAATGACAGCACAAAATGGAAATGTTTCAGCTGTCCATCAATAAATAAAAAAACAATTGTAGTAAATACATAGAATGGGGTCTGACTCACCAGTAAAATGGACTAAGTTGTCCATGAATTCAACAGAGTGAATAAATTTCAGTAGCATTAAATTCAACAAAATAAACCAGACACATACTATCTTATTCCATTTACATGAAGTTCCAAAACAAGAAAAATGAATCTATGAAAAATCATAACAATTGTGGTTTAATATATAGAATGAGACAATTTGCTGCAAAGACACACAGAACATTTTACAGTAATGAAATATATTCTTATTGGTAGTAACTCTGGAGATGTTATTTTTCACATGTTGCCCGTACATACTTGGCATTTTATTTTATCCGAGTTACAATTTAAAAATATATATTTTTTGAGATTTTATTTATTTATTCATGAGAGACACACAGAGAGAGGCAGAGACACAGGCAAAGGGAGAAGCAGGCTCCTGGAAGGGAGCCCCATGCGGAACTCGATCCCAGGATCCTAGGATCATGCCCTGAGCCAAAGGCTATGCTCAACCACTGAGCCACCCAGGCATCCCTTAATTCATTTATATTTATATTTTATTTAAAAAAATATTGTTTAAAAAAGCAGTTGTAATATGGCCTTTTTTCTTTTTTTAAAGTTTTTATTTAAATTCCACTCAGTTAACTGCAATGTAGTATTAGCTTCAGGTATAAATTTTCATGATTCATCATTTACATATGACATACAGTGCCTGTCTCAGCAAGTGCCCTCCTTAATTCCCATCACCTATTTAACTTGTCTCCCCAATATCTACCCTCTGGTAACTATCAGTATGTTCTCTATAGTTAAGAATGTGTTTCTTGGGCAGCCCGGGTGGCTCAGCAGTTTAGCGCTGCCTTCAGCCCAGGGCGTGATGCCAGAGACCTGGATCGAGTCCCGCGCTGGGCTCCCTGCATGGAGCCTGCTTCT